TACATAAAGGGACACCTCAGCTAGGGGTAGGGTGGGTGTAAACTCAACTGAAGGAAATCAGCAGCAGATGTGGTGTAAAGTAATGCAGATGGAGACAGGGAAACCCTCTTACTAGGACACCAAGTCCACGTCCTGGTCTTTCCTCCATAAAGCCTGAAAGAGGATCACTTTGTACCATGAGACTGCTGTGCGGCTGCCAAATAATGAGTGATCTCATCACAAAAATTCTCCCTCTAATGCAACATGTGATAGTATCTTATATCTCCCTCATATTAGCAAATTGGTGCATTTTATAATATTGGGAGTAATACAAGTCATGTCATAAAAGTGACAATGATTAAGGTTAAGAATAAGGACATGTAAGATAAGTCTATGACTTTAAAGGTTATTTAAAGTCATACTAATTGTGCTGGTCACAGCACTTCATACATGTTTTATTTTCTCATTTTATTTATTAATTGCTTGGTCTATTTAATGTCAGGATATAGTGAAAAATGCTAAACAGAATTTCTTAAAACCCAAGTTAATGTCAAATGACTTTTTGTCTTCTAAAATCCAAAGATATTCAATTTACAATGATATATAACAGAAAAGCAGCAAATCCTCTCATTTGAGAAGCTGAAACTAGAGAAAAATTATAATATGTATTTCTCTGCACTGATCCATGAATTTGTCAATATAGCAATGGTGGGTTAGTACTACTCGCATTGTTGCCAAAAGCGTAAAGACCATTTCCTTTGCTCTCAAGGATGTGTTCTGATAAAGACTGGCATGAAAAAAACGATTTAACTGGTAGTAAGCTGAGTCAGAATTAAAATTTGATGGGTATTGGTGTTTTTTAATCTGGAGATGTGAAAGGCACTTTTGTCTCTCAGTTAATGAAAGCTGTCTCAACACATACCAAACTCATAGTCAGACAGGGAGGAGGAAAAGAAGCAGAAGGCAAAAGAGGTGTAGGTTTTCATGAGGATTCCTTGGCTGCAGTGAAGCTCTCGATTTATGTGTCTGATTAATTGCTTTTCATATAAATCATAGGTATGGGCCCGGGGCATCACTCCCTGTCTTGAGGTGTGTGAGAAAACAAGGCAGAAATGTGGGGGAAAGGGTTCACAATGAAGGAAGGGAACAAGGTGACAGTTGTGTGTTTGAGTCGATGACTTGCCAATAAAGTTCCCTCTGACAGCAGGGCCCCTGCTATCTGTATGTGTGTAAAGTCTGTGTGGCCTGAAAAGAATGAGTGATGCTGTGTCACCGAGGGGCTCGGATTGATAATAGATCCGCAAAGTATTGTGTAACTGCATGTCAAGCCCTGTGGAGATGTGTGTTTATTTACTTCTGATGATTGAGGTTGTGTAATTGTTTACACTGGGGCAGCTTGTTATTCAAATGAGTAATTTTCCCCTCTGTCTTGTTAAAGTTCAGTTCATTGGGAAGCCTGCACTGTAGAAGATTGCTTCCGTATAAACAGTGACCCCTGCACATTAATTAACAAACGCACAGCAAAACCGTAGATTTAAATGTTGATTGCATTCTCTCACTTGTAAATGTACAGTTTGTGTAAAGCTTCTGCCCCTTTATGTGGCTAGTATTGAATGCAGCTCTTTATTTCTGTCTGTTTTTTCTCTCGTCTCCACCTCACCCATTTCTGTCTCTTCCCAAGCCCTTCCTCTTCAGCCCCACCGTCTTGGCACTCAGGCTGCTCCTATCACTTCCATCAGCTTGCCTCAGTCCATGTCTCTGTGACGTTAAATACCATCCTTCTACTCATCTGCACCCAATTTTCTCTCGTCCCTCCCCGTCTCCCTGTTATCTCCTTTTCATTTCTCACACCACTGATGGCAGCCAAGTCTGTCTGCTGAAGTTTGTACATGTTTCCTTCTTTCTCCACTCTTTTTTTTTTTTCCATCCCGCCGTCTGTGTCCCTCTAAACGAGCCTTTCAGAAGCTGTCAGTCGTCGGCATCACCTCTGTATCCGTCTGAACATGTGAGTGCAGAAAGGAGGAAAGTATGGAGGGATGGAGACTGATTGGTTTGTGCGGGAGGCTTTGAAGCATTTAGTAAGGGAGGTAGAGAGCCGCTGAAGAGAGGAGGACCAAACCAGAAAGATGGTCTTCGTCTGGAAAGCCTCATCCTGGTTATCTGCTGGGCGGCCGGGTAGCCGTCTAATGCGGACACGCACAAAAAACTGTCACATGGCTTTCTGACCATTCACATGTAGTCACATTCACATTTGGTCTCTTTACAGACCGCTTGCTGAGCTAACTGCCACTTAAGAGCATAGATGTGTGGGAATAGGCCGTTAGACTTCCAACTATTAGATTGGCAGTTACGTTGTCCACATCAGTCTCCTCTCTCAAGGATCTAAGTTTCAGGAAACCATTACTTCATTCTCTGTTGGTATAGTTAACTGTTAGATAAAGAGATTGATATTGTGAGCAAGCTGACACAAAAGCAGAAAACACTGGGCTGAAGGAGAGCCAAGGAAGCCGCAGGGGTAGCAGTGAATTGCAGGGCCTTCAAGCCAACCTGGGGGAGGAAAAAAAATAAAGAGAGAAGATAAAGAAAGTCAGTGGTGAGCGCAGCCTTCACTTTCAGACCAATAAAGAAAAGAAGCTGACAGATAGGTTGTGGCAAACCAAGCGTTTCTTTTCCCCTCTTCTTTATTCTCTCTCCTCTGTCCAGACCACTAATAGCTGTGTCCTCTCATACTCCTTCATCCTTCTCTTCATCCTTTCCTCTTTTCAGGGGGAGAATTGAGGAATTGTGCCTGTTCCATGACCAGACTCTGTCTCTTATTTTTGGTCCGATAGGCCTCTCTTTCTGTCGAAACTTCACAGCAAAGGACTGGATATATCATTTTGGATTGGAGACACAAAACAACCGCCTTCAGAAATCAGGAATCCGTTTTGTTTCTTTTACAAATACACGAAAAAACCCAACTGCTTTTCTTCATGGGATAATAGCTTATCCAAATATCTGTCCGTGCATGTTTTCATTCTTCTTCTCTGCATCTTTCACTCTTTCTCTTTAAAGGCTCCATTCACACCTCTGTCCCTGCTCTGTTTCTCCCTTCCACCCTCCCTCTACTCATCCAGGCTGAGTTGAGGTGCAATGTCAGGCATATATCGGGAAGTATGTGTGCCTCCGTGTGTGTGTGTGTGTGTGTGTGTGTGTGTGTGTGTGTGTGTGTGTGTGTGTGTGTGTGTGTGTGTGTGTGTGTGTGTGTGTGTGTGTGTGTGTGTGTGTGTGTGTGTGTGTGTGTGTGTGTGTGTGTGTGTGTGTGTGTGTGTGTGTGTGTGTGTGTGTGTGTGTGTGTGTGTGTGTGTGTTGCATATAGAGATGCATCCCACTGCGGTGTTGAAGGAGTCTATAGAGGTGAGGCAGAGTGTGAGACTGCCATGCTGACTGTGCTGACAGTTGTGGAAGGTTGTAGGTTGTTGGGACACGGAGAGCATCCGATCAATGTGTGTGTCCATTGCAGCTACAGATGCATAACATTCCACCTCCATCCATCTGTTAGCAGAAGCACTTAAAGCATGTTCGTGTCTTTTGCTCCGCTCTGAATTTCTTTTCCACCCTTACAGCCTATACCTCAGTCTCGCCCTGTATACTTTTTGCACGACTATATGAATTTAGTGATAGATTTTTGCCTTTCTCCTGTGCCTCTTTACCTAATTGTTAGGCGGAGCAAAAGGGTGGCTACAGATGAGGGGAAAGCTTGACTATGAGAGTATCCCCCAAATTCTTCTGTTTTCATTTTTCAGAGCAGCGTAGTTCATTCTCATGGCATCCATGTGCATGTAAAAACAGGCAGCATATTTTCCATACAGGCCCACTGACAGATGGGTCATGGTCAGAGCGCTTGTATAGCAACAGCATATTCCAGGGATGGTATTTCCTTTGTCTTGCTTATTTTGAGCTCATAATGACATCTGTGTTCTTTCTTTTTGTTCTAAGTTTAAGCATCAATCACTTTTTGACCTCAGTTTTGTATAAAAACATGCGTTCATGAAATGGAGTGCAGTCTTTGTCCTACAGTTTAATCTCAAAAACTATAAATATTATTGCGTGTTGAGATGGTGCAGCGGGGCTGTTGCAGGCGCCTGCTTGTTTACACAACTATCTCTGCAGTTTGTGTTTGTTTGGAGTCATGTGATAGAACACAGGTCTGTGATAATGGAGTCTCTTTCTCCTCCTCTTTTTTTTGTTCATTCGACCCCTCACTCATTTTTTTTCTTTTGCCCTGCAGCTGTTTTTGTTCAGCTTGGTTTACTTTCCATCCAAAATGTTAGGTCAAATACAGACTTGTACCCATTTCACAAGCACACATTACAATATTCTGGTGTGTTTACATTTCCTGCTCAACATTGCAGACAACATAGCACTCCTGACACTCAGGAGTGCTATGGCTCAAACAAAGAACTTTAACATAGCGGAGTTTGACTCTAGGCCTAAGCCCTGATGACCCTGAGGTCAGTGTACAACTTTTCAAACCTTTAACCCCCAAGTGTCTCTAGCGTAGCATGAAAATGGTGTTCCTAGGGCTGCAATAAATTATTATTTTCATTATTAATTTATTTGTCTATAATTTTTGTAAAACAATTAGTCTATAAAATATCAATGTCTTCAGATTGCTTTCTGTGTCTAACGAACAGTAAGAAACTTGATGTTGAATCCATAGCAATATTAAAAAAAGTTGCTAGAAGCTGTAATAAGCAAATGTTTGGCATTTTTCCTGGATAAAACACTGAATTAACAAATTCATTTTCAAGGTTGTTGACATTTTCTGTTGATCGAAAAACAATAATAATTGTTTTAGCAGGAGGTGTAACCCTCTTTCTCTCTTTCTCTCTGTCCCTTTTCCATTCTCCAGGGGCAGTACCGGCCTTCAGACCTCGTGTGCCCAGAAACCTTTGTCTGGGTTCCAATAGAGCGATGCCTACCCCAGCTGGAGAACTCCCGCTATGCTCGTTTCAACCAGGATCCTGATGCAGGTACAACACTCCACTCTACTGTTATCATTATCCATTTAGGGCCTTTGATGTCTGAAACTGGAGGAGACTGCTATTTTCTGCATTTATCCCATACAGTTGCATACATTTCTAACATCACTAACATAATGAGCTGCCGCTGTGAGCTCAGTCTTGAATCCTCCAGTTCTTGGTACGCTCTGTTCTGGATGAACCCATGAACCTTGTCTTAACATCTGATCCGGTTTCACTGTGATGGTGTATTGAAAACTGTGGGCTTGTTCCAAGGCAGCATGCAGTCACTGAACAGGGGTAAACGGAGCCCCCCACCACCAACAATGATCCTTCAGCATGATCAGAGGAGAGCCAGCACTGTCATTATGGAAGGACCACGTGGCCATTAGATGAATAGTGATATCAGCATTAATAAACCGCATGCGGAAGGTAGACTGGCAGACGCCCATTGCTTGGACTGGCGGGGTGAGAGATGGGGGCCAGGGAGAGTGTTTAATAGTGTATAAGTGAGTTTGAGAGTTTTGAAAGGAGAGTTTTCAATGATTTTCTGCATAGGTGCATAGCCAGAGACTAATAGATTTTCTGTCTCCCTTTCCCATGTCTTAAATCTCTCTCTGCTCACTCTCCTGTGTTGATTCTGCATTTTTGTGCTCTAGGTGGTTTTTAGGCGAATATGCAGTCAAATTCCTAATGCTCCCTCATAAACCAAACTGGAATTGCTTGCATCATATGGTTCTGCAGGCTGTTCTGACACTGCTCAGCTTCAGAATGACGAATGATGATGTTGATGTTGTTGTGAGTACGCATTGTGCACAGGTTTAAACCTGCGTACATACATACGCATGCTGTTGATATTGCAAGTGCTTGTAACCTGAGTGGTTGTACAGGTGCCAGCCATCTCCTGTTTACTCTTCCCCATTAATCTGCATCACCAAACAGGAAAGAGCCACTGATGGACAGTAATAGGAGATGTGAGAGGACAAGAATTTGATTGTCAAGTGGACTGGGACTGACGAATGGAGGGTAAGAGAGGGAGTAGCAGAAGAATAGATAAGAGACGGGTGGGGGCATGTGATAAAAATGATTTTATAGAGATGAGAAAAGAAAGGGAGGGAGGCTGGTGTATGCTGGCACTAGAAGAGAGAGGAAAGTATAATAAAATGAGAGATAGACTGACAGGGAGGTGGAGGAGGAAAGAGGGATGTATGAATGAGGAGAGACGGCTCAACAAGAGTTTGTTGTGATGAGGTCATACTTGGACTTGGTGCCATGCAGAGAGGTATAAACCAACACAAATAATGAACTTCAAAGTGCTCTCTGACACGGATGGCCCTTTCCTCTGTCCCCTATATCAGGGGTCACATTGTGCGATGAGGTAAGGTTTGCGGGCATTAAGGGCACCAGCTATAAAGAATCCAAATCTTAACACATGTCTCAAGGAAATGACGATTCTACACATTTTCTTGATTTCCTGGCTAGCTTTTGTTGTTGACTTAACTGTGGTGAAAGCACCACACCCAGGAGAAATGAGAGCATTTAAAAGACCATTAGTAGGCTGGTCATTTACAACATTGCCATTAACAGCTTAGCCAGCGGTAGGTCTGACCTTTTCTTGTCAATCATACCACTAATCCCTGAGTAGGCACAAATTACTAAGGACAAAGTGGTGGTCTTTTCACTGTGGCCAGAGAATGTTTGTATGTCTGTGGCTCTTGCGGTGCCTCCATTCCTGCGTGGACTGTTGATCTTGGACAGGTCTGGACATTATTTCAGGCCTAGCTGTCCAAACCCAGTGCCATTACATTTCAGTGCTAGCTGTCTTGATGGTTAGGGTCCCGGGTCTGCTGCCAAGCTCTGGGAAGCCAAACTAGTGGTGAGGTGGAGGTTTCTGTCCTCTCCAGAAACACAGCCAGTGGTCAGTCGGTCACCAGGTCAGCCTGCCCTGTGTCATCGTCTGGTTGGCAGCATGGCACACTGTTGAGGCCTGTGGCCCAGTCCTAATTGGCAGTTTGTCTATGTGTGGCTTGTTTTTGGCCAACATAAAGACATGTTGCAGTCTGTTTTTAAGTCCTGGGGAAATCCTGACAGCTTGTAATGGTTTTTGGAATTTCCAGTGTATCTTTGTGGACGTAACTATCTATTGCAGTCTCATTTATTGAGCTGTGTGATGATTGGTGTGGGTGATTAGACATTTAGCACTCTGACCTGATTGTTCACTATGTTGGTAGTTGGTTCAATGGACAACATCCTTATTTATCCACTCTGTTCTGTTGACTAACAACAAATATTCAACATAATATATAATCCTCCTTCCGTCATTTTTATCAATACCCCTATCAACAGGGTTATGTTTTTGGTACATAAAATAAATGGGTTAAAGGGAGACATATGTTCTAAAGCTTGGTAAATATGAGCGTTTTAATGTAGCCATATAAACAAAAATGTTTGAGATTATAGGGGAGTAAAGTTCCTTTGGAAGTCAGCAGAATTGAGAATCGGGGTGTTGGTTGTGCGTTCAGATTGTAAGGGTGACCGGGTTAAAGAGCTGTCCTAATGAGGTGTGTAAAGACAGCTAATCTAAAGTTTACACAACTCTGTCCAAAGCAGGCTCACATTGATTACATGCCTGTTGCTGACACATCGAGGGCCCCAGGGCCTCGTTGTGGCGTCTCACAAATGTACATACAGTATGTACACACACACACACACACACATAGACACATACACACACTCTGCACAGCACATATGTACTATCTCTCACACGCTTATAATCAGTGTTTGCTTGACAGAGAAAGAAGTGGGGCCATTGCCCGCACAGCAGGATAAACAAAACACTTGGAAAAATGTGTGACACAAGTAGTCACCCCCCGGACCTTAAGTGTGTCCGGCAGGCGCCAACCCAGACTCACAAAGTCACATATTGCATACACACACTACACTAAGTTGCGTTAAGTAATATGTCTAAAATGCTGAGATAGAATATTCTCACTCTGTTTGTCTTTCTTTCGTGTCTCATCCGAATAGACACATTCACTTCGCCATCAAGCTGACTGACTGTGAGATCTACGTTATCTGTGCTTTCAGCCATGCAAAGTGCCTCCAAATCATTAGGTGGGGGTGACAGTGCTAGCCTGACAGCCTCCACCCATTACCCCCAAGCCTTCTGCCTTCTCCACTGTCTCTACCTTTTACAGTACACACTTTCATATCTTGTCTCACTGTCAGAGCCACTTTGCTCTGCTCTTCACCAGGCTTTCTGCTCCTTAGCCTGACTTGCACTAATGTTCCATTCAGAGTGGAGGGGAGACAGATATCACTACTCTCACTTTCTTGTGTCATAATACGGGATTTCGTTTTTCCCCCCAGATCTGCTGCACTTTTTCCTTATTTCAATAACAATAATAAAGATAATGTCCTTTATAATCTTGGGGAATTCCTCTTGTTGCTTTCTTTACCGTGGAGGTCAAAATTCACGGTCAGTTACAAAGATTCAGTGTCCTCCTTTGAGCTAGTCGGATGCGTGCTAACACAAGGGCTTGAACCCAGGTCTTCTGGTCAAAGAGCAGTCTTCTTACTACACCACCGTTTTGGCCTTTTTCTTTTCAAACGTAAGCCCTATTTTGGATTTGCAACATTGGGTCACAGGAAGTGGTCATAACCTGATGGCCTGTCTTTGACCAGCGTCCGGTGTTAAGCAAGTGTTTTGAATGTTCAAGATGGATGGGAAGAGAGAGGAGCGTGGCGAGATGTCAGGGCCTCTAGCCCGGGTTCTGACCCTCTCAGTCCCCGATCGACCCTCACCACTCCTCTTTCCCCCCGACCCTTGAACCCTCGACCCCGAGGAGCTGCGACCTCAGAGCGGCGTGTCACTGAACGTCCGGTGGGCCTGACTGGAACTGGGTCTGGAGCTACTCAAAATGAGAAGGGGGGGAGCTGGCATCGATGAAGGACAGAGTGAGTGAAGAAGAAATGAAAGTTGTTTATGTGAGGAGCGGATGTTTGGATTGCCTTGAGTAAGAGAGAGAGATAGGGTCTCTGCTCTGTATTACTGTTGAGGTTAATAGACCATCTTAAAGCTGCATGCTGCTATCCGTTTTGGTCTGTAAAATGTTCACTACTTAATAGCTTCACAAGGGGACAGTGGTGCTTTAGACCAGTGTCACACAATTGAGTGTAGTGACTGTTGTGTAAGTGGGCTGTCGCACTGATAAAAACCATGAAGGAGGCACATGGTGCTCAGAGAGACAATGCTGAAGACAGCTTAAGTTATTAAGGAAACATCGGACGTTTGAATATTTTGCCTTTCATCTCATCAGGACGCATTAATTCTTCATGGACCAAAATTATGGTCATGTGGAAGTTGCATAACATGTTTACATCTTTTAAAACCCATTTGCCCACATGGTGAGACTTAACATACTGCTGATTTATTTAGTTTAAAAGTTTGTATCAAGCATTCTTCAATTATGTGACTCAGCAGTTTTTAGAGAAGGGGGAAAGACACAGTGGTTAGGGCATTACTGAGCAGGGAAATGAGGATAATAAATAAAACATGAATCCACAGTGTGGTTTGAAAATGTAAAAAAAAAAAAATTAATATAAAAATATCTTTCTGCAGAGGTGGGGGGAGGAAGTGAGCGCGATGGAGCCTCTGGGCTGTTTATACCCAGCTCTCTTCTTTCCTCTGGCTTGCTTTTCAGGTAGAGTCTGCGCAAGTTAGATGACATGAATATTTGGGACATTCTCTTACTGTATATCTACCTAAAGCCACATCACTAGCTTACTTGAATTCTCCCATTGGTGGGTCTTTGATGGGACCATAGGCGATGATGAGCAGAAAAGTTGCAAAGCTTTTAACACGTTTTTGATCACATCCAATCCATAAATAGCTACGGTCCAGTGCAGTGTGTTTGAGTGCTCTGTAAACTGGGGATCCCTTTTAACATCTGGCACCAGAGAGTTTTGTTTGTGGTATTACATCACAGTTTGGCTTTTTTTCTATTGTCTTGTTTACCCCGTTGATTAGGTGATCAGGTGATCAGGTGGGATTTGGCAGTGCTATGGCGAACATTTTAGGCAGAAATATGTGCGCTCGCATCACTCGTACCACCTGGGTGCTCAGCTGTGAGCCACATGGGTGTAGTCAGGGGGGCGAGTGGAGCCCCCGAGCGCTATTAATACCAAATCTAACTCACTTCTGTTTGACTGATGTGTCGCCATGGGCATGGCAAGCTAGTCCACTCCACTTCCACTTCCACAGCCTGGCCTGAAGTTTATTTTCATATGCTTCATATGCTCAGTTAGGCTAGACCAGGATTGCTCCACACAGGATTGATTGGATGAAACATTGTGTGTACAGCATGGAGAGGATGTGCATTTCAGAAGGCACGATATTAATTTAACATCTTAGGCATTTTGCAGTCGGTGAAACGGCAGAATACTTGAAAAAGACGACCTTAGGGGCTTAGCTAAAAGCTGAGGAGAGAGCTAAAAGCATTTTAAGAGGGCAATTAGAGTAACTAGAGCTGGAATGTCATTCATTGGGTACAGGGTGACATGAGATACTTGAAGTTCCAGTGAATGACAGCAAATAAAGGGCTCCTCAATTCTGACTGGAGTGGGAAGATGATTAGTGCTCACGCTGAATTTTGGGACCCACTTGCATTCACACATAATTTGCACTATACTTGACTCAGTTGATACTCCCCGCTGTGCTACCCCCTAGCCTGTCCTCTTGCCGCCAGCTGTGGGCTGGCTCAAGCTCTCACTCCTGGAGGCAGCAGTTTTAGTGTCAGAGTGAGGGTCATCATTTTTTAGCCTTTTTTTTTTTTCCATTCGACTCTCCAGAGTACCATTGTTAGCTGCTGAACACGCACACATTTGAAATTAGCAGTGTTTTCACTGGTCTAATAGGAGCTGGCAGTGTATGACACAGGACCTGATGAAATGCCGAGTTTGGTAAGCCAGCAGGGAGCAAGGCCCCATAAACAAGGCCAACTAACTAGCCTGCACACGCACCACTGTGTCTCCAGGTTTAGGGCATAGGGGAATTAGGGCTATGGGGGGAAAATGCTCTCTGCTCCTCCAGCAGCTTCTCGGAATAATGGTGTTTCCTTGCCAAGTCACTCAGAGGTTAACTCATAAGAAAGAGGGAAAATAAGGACAATGGTTATTGTGCTTGATGTGTCTACGCTGGTCCTTATTATGTTCTCATGTGTGCCTGTTTGTGTCCAGGAGATGCTCGGGTGCTGAAGGACGTGGGCAGAGTTATGGTGCTATACAGACGGACCGTCATGCCCTACGCGGCCTACACCCGCAAACGCAAAGGCTCCAACGACGAGACGGAGGTGCAACAGTACGCCAGCTTGGTTGGACAGGACTGTGCTGAAAGGATCTTGCTGTACCGCGCCTAAACACACAGCGTCACACCACTGCACCTTTTTAATATACGTAAATACACACTTCCCAGCAGTGTCTGTCTGTCTGTTTCTGTTTCTGTATATCTGTGTGTCTCCTCACTGTCTATGAAAGCGCTTTCTGCTGCCTCTCCCAGTAGTCTCACCATGCTTGGCTTTACACAGGCTGGAACAATGCAGTAGCCACCCACTATCTTCTGTATGTACGTCACCCATTGGCCTCATAGATCAGTTATGTCTCATTCATATTTATTTTATGAGTTGAATTTCATTCATCAATGAATCTTGCAGCATCCATTCTCAGTTTAATTCTTATACATCTTTTAGTCTGATTTAACTCCATACCGGGACCAGTCCCTTGAATGTTATTCTGAAATATCATATAGTCATCGCTTTGATTTTTTTGCGCTATCTTCAATCACAAATGCTAAAATAATGATATTGTAGGAGCCACACACAGGCGACAGCTTTCTTATGAACTGACACAGGTTTAGACTCAGCATTGCCACTTGAAGAGCATGTTCCTCTATGAATGTTCAGTGATTTTGAAGGTGATTTTTCAGTTGCTTACATTATATCCCAAAACATAAAACTGAGACATCTGACACCACAACATTAAGATTTTTATCACTGGGTTAATGTGAAGCAAATAATTCATTGTTTTCAATGTTTTATGTTATAAATGTTATATTTATAGCTTCATTTCCTTTTCTTTTAAAATTCACACTTGTTATTTTTGCCTAAACTGAATAAAAGGGTTGTATATTCCCTGCTTGAACTTGGTGTCTTTTCTTTGCATGCTAATTATACAACTCAGCCCTGAATCCAGAGGCAGTGGGATTTTGGAAACAGGGCAGTAATGTAATGAGTCCTCTTGCTAGCACAAACTGTATACATTTTTACACATACAGTAGTAAGCTTGTGTCTCCAAAAACACATGCGCACCCAGAGATAAGTGCTTGAGTTGAACTTGTTGAATTGGGCCAAGCAACAGGTGTTAGATATATGAGCCGGCAGAACACAAATGCGAATGGCCTCTTGCCCTCAAACCGAGTGTCAACAGCAGTCCAGCTCTCAGCCAGGACTAGGGCTCGGCTGAGCTGGTGTCAGCCGGCAGGCTTCACGTCTTGAAGAACAGAGCTTGTAACCGTACAAGCTACGTCGGTCATGGCCGTAGCTCAGGATCTCAATGCTCTGTATGTCTGTAGTTACGGTAAATTTCTGTGGTTTTAACAGGCTTTAGAGGTTTTCAGCAAATTTGAGTGTGAAAAAGTACCATGCAGTGGAGGTCTCAGTGTCATCATAGGTCTGTCTTTGCAGCCTGTGTGAAACTAGTATAACTTAGTTAAGCTAAATGTGCTAAATGTGTAAATGTATCTGTATAAGTGTGTGTTTTAATCCTTTGAATGAGATTGATGCAATTTTAGCAAATGTCAAATCGGAACACACTGGCATCATAAAAACACTCAGCATGACTCACTCTTTCCAGAGTGTCTCAAATCTATGATGTCCATCGCTGATAAATCCACTTAAAATAAATGGTCCTTAAAACTTAAAATCTTGCTTTGATAGTAAACCAATTAAGATTATTTTTTTTAAATGAATCAAGCTGACTTTTGTCTGAACATCCCTGGTTACAGTGCAAATAGTACCAGGACTATACAGTATGTACTTCCACAGTACAGACAATATTTAGTATGATATAGTAAATCAACTGGAAAATCAGTCAGAATCTAAAATGATGCTATCCTGTGAGTGTTGGTTGAGCACGTCCTCAGAAATCCTGCTCCACACATAAATGTATTTCTGAGAGTGCCGCCAAGCCGCCACCCAGCAGGGTGAGAATCACATTCTTCTGGATGCTTACCTAGAGACATACAACATGCAACTAACTGAGCGAAAAGTGTAACCACAGACTGTTAAGTGTCAGTTTGACCCTGGCCTAGAGTTGTATTTGTGCAGCGGCTCTGCTCTCCAGTGTGGCCTGACCTGCCAGCCTGTCTGCACCCAATCCTGAGAAAACAGTTGAGAGAGTCAGTCTCTCCAGTTTAAACTCAACCTGTGTTTAAGAGTAGCCTGTGTCCTCGGGAATTAGGATGGATTGACAGGCTAATTCTCTGAGAAGGGAACACTGACGCTGGCTAGTGGCCATCTTGGATTCACTGTTTCTCTCCCACATTAGACATGCTTCCCCTCAGACTTAATGTGCACTCACACGGACCCACACACACACACTCCTGGCACTGTCACGAGCAGTTAGTCTTGGTGGACGCCACACATGAGGACATGTGCCAGTACTGTGGTGGACCTCTTTCTGTCAAAACAAGTGGCCTGGACTGGTTGGCTATTTTATAATGAGTCCATAATGCTGCAAGACACAGCATGGCAGGGTTTGGACATTACGCTGATATATAATTGTGTCACTGCTCATAATTCTTATTAAGTATGAGGTCTGTACTGACCACGCACTGCTGCTGAAATACCGTTCAGCCAAAGGTCAGCATTCAGGGAATAAAGGGGCCTGGAGAGAAGGCTTTATCTTCATGTCAAACCTGAGTCACAGAGATGGTTTAAATACTCTCTATGGTTTATTTTAGGCCGTGTTGGTGCCAAATAGGTGGGGTTTGTCGCACTGGAAAATAAAGAGTCTGCCAAAAAGCTGGGAAAAGAGAGTATGACCCTGTAGTAAGATAACATTTAGAGCAAGACAAAGCTACATTCTCTTAAGAAAATGCAAGTGTGCTTGCTTTGACTGAACATTGCACTCTGTAAACAAGTTAAAATATATTTAAAGTTAATTATTTGCATGTGGCATGTTGGATGTGAGTTGCAGTTGAAGATGAAGCACACAGAATTTGAAATGTCAGTTAAAGTCAAAGCAGGACGTAATGGAAGTGTCTGTTGAAGGGCAATTAGTGAAAGCATTTGCAAATTTAGATTCAAGCCCTGTTGGCAGATGAATTGTGAGTTTGTATGTAAGCACTGAAAGTAGTTGAAGAGTCAGCTGAAGAGTAAGAGATGAAAGCAGCTGAAATGTCTTTGTGCAAGCCAAGAAAGCAGTTAAACTGTTACTTACAGAGTGAAGGATGAAAGAACTTGAAATGTTAGTTGAGATGTAAAAGATGAAAGCAACTAAAGACATTTCAGTTCGAGGTGTAGTCCCAGAATTAGCTGAAGTGTGTGCACTGTTAACAGTCGAAGTGGCATTTAGTTATGTAAGCAGGGACAGCAGTTTAAAAAGTCAGTTTAAGCTCAAGTAAATAATTATTTGTTAGAAGTATCTCCTCTCCATTTTTTGCTGCCTTCTGCTGTTTTGCTTCACCATACATGCAATGTGGCCAGATGAAAATGGCAAGGGGACCCACAGAGTAAAGAGGATGTGTCAGCGTGAAATAGTATGGGAAGGAAAAGCGAGTCTGAAAATGAGGAAAAAGAGACACCATGCCTGACGTTTCCCCCCTTTTTCCAAACGTCTAATCCAAACTTGCGTGTGGAATCATGTCAGAGAAATATGGAATAATATCCCTCAGCTGTTTATGTAAATGTCTCTAAATGTTACATGCTGCCTCAGTGAGCATTATTCGATTTTGTGGTTAAAAAAAGAGGGAAGAATGTGTTTAGGAAAATAATGGTTTTGCAGATTGTAATCTTTCTTAAATATTCATTTTCCCTTATGGTAGGAACACAAATGCTGCCAGGGGATGGAGTTGGAAGTGTATGCGTCATCCACCAGCATCTGATCACATCTACTGTATGTATGAGTAAACCGGGACTCCGTGTAGCATCTGAGGGCGCTATTACATGACACTGTCTTCCTGTTTGTAAATATGAAACTATCTGTAGGCAGTAAGCTGTTTGATCTCTCTCTTTTTCGGTCCTTTACTGTGCTAATCTTTCTACAGTACACACAAGCTTCATTTCATCGTACCCGGGGGCAGAATGTAAACACAGCCTCTGCCCATAGTATGCATGTGTGTGTGTGTGTGTGTGTGTGTGTGTGTGTGTGTGTGTCTGTGTGTTTACTCTTGCTGGC